TCCGTAATTTCTCTTTTAGAACACCAGGAATGTTAAAAAACTGTAAAAACCCGTGGACACGGTAACATGGCGATTCTTTAGGTACCCACTTTTATGGGTCTAAGGTTTACCGTTATCGCAGAGTTTGAGTGACTTTCTCAGGACCCTGGATTCTTGAAATTCAAATTTCCCGGCAAAGTGAAAAGTAAAATTTTCGTCGTTTTGGGTCATTAAGTGCTTATAACTTTTTGAAAACTCAATGGATCTTAATGAAACTCTTATACGCCATCCGGCTAACTTAGCTGCGTCCATAGACACCAAGATCGTTGGAATCCGTGCTGCCGTTTGCTCTGAATTCCATTCTAAATCGAATCAAATTTCAGATTAAGGGAGTTGCCTGTGACTAAGAGTGTCGGCCACCCGTTTGTTATCGGGACTTTAGTTGGACGTCATTTTCCTCGACCGGGGGTGGCTACCGCCACTCTTGATATGTGAACTCGGAATCAAAGTCGAATAAAAGCCCAAAAACACCTGAAAAATGGCCAAATTTTCCTATAAAATCATGATTTCCGTCCGAACGAGCAACATCGGGCAGATGAACCGTTAAATTTCTAAAAGTACACATACTACTGAATATATCCACGTGCACAAAAGTGCAAGTGGGTACTGTCAATGGTTTTTTATGCCACTCCATGAAAGTGGAAAAAAGGGTTAAACATGAGCAGTATTTCAAAATGTAATATTCGCCACCAAAAAAAGGATTTAAAAATTGGAAAAATAAATATAAAAATAAAATTAGAATGATTAAATTAGCTAGTATTTCAATAAAAAAAAAATATTTGACATTCTTTAAGGTTTAAAAACCCGTAATGAAAAATAACGAAAAATGGCAACACAGCAACGTTGAACTGGTTTCTTTCTCGGTAAATTGATGTATTTTGAAAATAAGCACTTGTTAATTTTTTTTGGTGCGATCTTGAGCTTGATATCCTACTTTTCCCTGGGAGATATCAAGCTGAAAGAATTTTATCCGATTTCCCCTTAAAACGGGGCCAAAAAACCTCCTCAAAATGTTCTCCTCAACAATTTCTGTTTGTCGCAAGATAGTACGTACCAAAAAGAGCAACTAACCAAATTTTTATGAAATTTCAACAATTTTTAACGGAGACATCGATTTTTGACACTCGTTCCCTAGTAATCAACGCACGGTCCCCCCAAAATTTTGGGGGAACCAAAAAGTTGCTACCTTAAACCGAGGAACATTCCCAAAGTTTCAAACTTCTATCTCAGTTCGGAAAAAAGTTACAGGGGTGGTAGGTGACTTTTGGATAACCCTGTATATGTATGTATGTATGTATGTACGTATGTATGAAGAAAAAAAACACTAAGAAGTGGCCCGAAACTGAATGTAACAAGGTGGAGAAATGGTGCTGGGTCCACACCAATTCGCGGGGAAATCAAAGCCAAGGAGTTCCAAAAATTAAAATTAGAGTCAAAATTATTTTTGAGTTCTGATGCGCACCAGTACGAAACTGAGGGGGAAAGTGTTCAGCTCAGGCAGTTTGCATAGGAATATTAAGTTGGAGCCACGTCGAGAGATCTATACCGGTTTGGGCCTTTTTAGACCTCATCAGTAGATCACACTCGGCAGTGAACCCGACTTAACATGCCGCAAAATCCAAGACGGCATTAAAACGCCGTCATGGATATGACCCGAGGCATGACACAAAAGTGTGATCCTCGCGCCATCTACCGTCGCCGCTGAACAACTCTCATAACAAACAAGGAAAACCCGAAAAAATGATAATCAGGCTGGTTGGAGATGCGAACGCATCTAGACGCAACCGCCCGCTCCCGAACGGGAGAGCACATATCCCCAAATTGTGCATATAAATGAAGAAAACCGCCATTCGGGCCACTTCTTAGGGTTTTTTTTCTTCATTTATACGCACAATTTGGGGATATGTGCTCTCCCGTTCGGAAGCGGGCGGTTGCGTCTAGATGCGTTCGCATCTCCAACCAGCCTGATTATCATTTTTTCGGGTTTTCCTTGTTTGTTATGAGAGTTGTTCAGCGGCGACGGTAGATGGCGCGAGGATCACACTTTTGTGTCATACCTCGGGTCATATCCATGACGGCGTTTTAATGCCGTCTTGGATTTTGCGGCATGTTAAGTCGGGTTCACTGCCGAGTGTGATCTACTGATGAGGTCTAAAAAGGCCCAAACCGGTATAGATCTCTCGACGTGGCTCCAACTTAATATTCCTATGCAAACTGCCTGAGCTGAACACTTTCCCCCTCAGTTTCGTACTGGTGCGCATCAGAACTCAAAAATAATTTTGACTCTAATTTTAATTTTTGGAACTCCTTGGCTTTGATTTCCCCGCGAATTGGTGTGGACCCAGCACCATTTCTCCACCTCGTATGCATGTATTTCAGCCAGCGTGAGGATTTTTCAGTTTTCAGAGCTTTGAGCGGTAGTTAATTTTTAAGTTTCTTGAGACGAAATTGCTGGAGTTAGGTTCCCCTAAGAGTACTTTTAAACTGTGAAGAAAAAATCGGAATACGTTAATTACTTTCCGCACAGCGAGGGGTCAAAGTGGAGGTAGGTTTAATTTTGTCCATGCGATAACTCGAGTAAAAATGAATATTATGAGCTGAAATTTTGATGGTAGTTAGAGATCTACTAAGACTGGTTTCCTATTGAATTTCAGCGCAATCGGCCAACGGGTTCCATAATAGTGGCAATTTACCGTTTGTACGGGTGAGGGGGGGGGGAGGAGTTGCGCTAAATCTCGAGTAAAAATGATATTTTCAGCTGAAATTTAAATGGTAGTTAGAGGCCCACTAAGTCTGATTTCCTATAGAATTTCAGCAAAATCGGCTTTTGCGTTTCGTATTAGCGGTCATTTATATGTTTTACAGATGGGAGGGGGGGGGTGGTTTGCGTGAAAATATTCCTCAACGTCCAATTAATTTTTCCCCCAATATTAAATCCGCTCAGGTGAGAATATAAAAGAAATGAGGGAATGGATAGGTTTAAATTTAGTATAAATCATAACTGGGATCCAGGGTCAAGTTTTAATCACCCAAGGAGAACTGTTTCTTGAAACATATCTGTGGCAAGAGGGGAGGGGTAAATGATTTCATTCCCCAATGTGACGCTACCCTTCGGAAAATACACTCATGCCGCGGTAAAGGCGCGGACTACAAAAAGAACCGTCCCCTACTTGCCAGCAACCCCACCGAAAAACCCTGCCGCTTTTTTTGAATTCTGGCTTCAAAGAGTACCCTACATCAAAGACATGACTGGATTCGGCAGAGACACCAACGCAAAACTCCAAGTAACTAATGTCATTCATTGCAATCTTTCAATTATAAACAAACAATAGAATTATCTGCAATATGAATGCCGTTTCTATCCAAAATCTTAACTTTTCTGCTTCTTAAGTTAAGTTCTTCTATCATTGACCCCCTAAACAATACGCAGCTCAACCCCTCAAGGGGAGGGCACTGGACGGACCTGTTGGGATTAATCTAGCATGAAATAAGACAAAGCTCTGAAGATACAACCCATCGGCGACCATATTCATGATTATGGGGCGAAGCAGTTCATTCATTTTCAATAATTCCTGGAGAAAGAGAGGAAATATCCACAAAAAAAATGGTAGTATGAGCTAAGAATTATTGAGGAAGCCAATAATAATGATATCTTACCATTAGAAAGAAAAATTTTTTTAAAAGAGTACATTACAAATCAATGTAAAATCACTGGAATCATAGAGTAAGTAAACAAAAGTAAAAATGACGGAGAAAATTAATCGAGAGCACAGAGAAAAGTGACCTGCAATCTTCGGAAGAGCAAGTGGCATAAAGGCGGAATGCAAGTTGCCGAAAACTGGAAGAGAAAGTGGGATTGGAGTAAGAGAAGGGATAGCTAAGTGGGCACAGAATGCTCAGGTAGATGGAACAGAAGGGGAAAAAAAGGAATGGTTTGAAAGGGGTAGTAAGTGGGCACAGAATGCTCAGATAGATGGAATAGAAGGGAAAAGAAAGGAAGGGTTTGGAAGGGGTGGTGGACACACCCAGCATTAGATTAGGATTTTCACGTTGCGGCTACGTGAGCTTTATCTTTTTATGTAGAGTAGATCTGTTTTTACATGAATAACTGTCACATGACAGCAGAAATTTTAAGTTTGCGAGGAATGGTGAAAACAGAATGACTCATTGGACTGAATTATGTCTTTCATAGGATTTTCATCGAACTCGAGGCACATATTTATAGTAGACTGTTTGACATTTTTGAGGATGTTTCTATTTACAGAGACAGTTTGCATAATAATTAACTGCCTTTGAACATCTTGTTTCATCAAAAATTTTTCGTATTCGTCAATCAACTTTACGACCCTTTTGGCTACATCATTGAGCTCGAGCACCTTTATTTGTTGACCTTTAAGTAAGTCTTGATATAGCTCTCATTTTGGGGCCAAGTCTCCAGGTCACATCTAAGAAAATCGTCTTGAAGTCATAAAAGTTGGGGGAAAAAGGTTCAAATCTTCTGAAATAAATTCGTGCGTTCCCTTTCCTCGAATCTCAATGACGTTTTGTAGTTTTAGACGCTTAAGACCTCCTTGTGGTGGGTTTTCTTTACTAGGGGCTGCAACCATTTTTAATTTTGCCCCAAGGGAATCCTATCGTCAAAAACGCAAGGGATGCATGTTCACACGTTAATAACAATATGATGCCTTATACGTAAAAACAGCAGATGTCGCATTTTCAAGTTTAGGGAAAGTCGCATTCAAACTTATCAAAGCAGTGTGCGTTTAGGTGTCCGTGTAGCACATATGGTTTGGTCACGTAATTTATAATAGAACGAATCCTTCTCTAAAAATGGATTTTAAAGGTTTGAATTCGAAGCAAATGTCAACTATATACATTGATCTTACCACATCCGCTGTTTTTTCAGAGAACTTTATTATTAGGCATAAAAGGAACTACTTAGCTAAAGAGAGATAAAGCAATTGATATTGATAAAATTATGATCACTGCTTAGTATTTCAATTATTTTAGAAAAAAAATAAATATTTGGTAGCTATCGAAAAAAATTAGGAACAAATCATATTATCAGTCTTTGAAAATAGAGAAAAATTAAAAAGGGTACCATCTCCCGAAGACATAGAGATACTTGTTGTCTTTCTTGAAAGTGGATCCTAAAAAGGATCTTTAAAATTGTATATGTATTTAGGAAAAAATTGTCAAATTTACCTCAAAAACAAAACCAAAACCTAAGATGACTTCTTTTACTATTTCATAACTAGGTTCTATTGAGTCAGGTAAAAAACCATTACTGAAATGATACAACAAAGGTCCTAGATTGATCCATACTCCACCTGTTAATTAAAGAAATCGAGTGTGAAAAAATTATGAAGAAACATAAAAGAAGAAGCTAAAATTGGACAGCAATATATTCATTTATCTCTTTAAAATTACTGATACCTTAAGATGTAAATCATCAGAGCTTGTCATATCCAAGAGTACCTTAATTGGATTGCATTTTGCAAAAAGGAACCAGGAGCATTGCAATGTTGCTAAGATTGTGCAACTTCATCCATTGCAATTTAACAATTGAAATTCTGAAAAAATATGAAATTTACATGGTAATTTTTGTCCCAAATTTATAGTTTTTATCAATTAAAAAGAAACTGTTTATGGATGATCAGGTTTTTCTTTCCAGACAAAAGAAGCTGCACAATCATAGCAACATTGCAATGCTCCTGGTTCCTTTTTGCAAAATGCAATCCAATTAGTAGAGCATCAACACTGGACGGTCCATTCTTTATTGGCTTCGCCACCTCAGCCTCTAGGCTGTCTTGGGCCAAAAAATGGTGGACGTTCCGAACAGCTGTAGGTTAAAATCATTGATCCTTGGGTTACACATGTTTTACTGTTTTAGAAAAAATATTTGCCGTGTACTTCAGAAAATTATTCTCGGGATTCACACTTTTTGTGGCAGATTTTATGGTTCATAATCATCAATCCGTCAACACACTTATGACCCATCAAGTTCAAAGTCCCTTCTCTTGGCCCGAGGCAGTATTTATACAGCTCAATCTCCGTAATCTTCATAAATTAAGAAAACTCTTCGTTTTTAAACCCATAGGGCCTTCGTTTTTTCTGTTTCAGTAACTCTTTTATCTAGAGAAAATTAAGTGTAAATTTATTTAATGCAAGCCACCAAATTTTAAAAGACGCATATAGTGCTGTATTGAAACCTGCACCTCATACAAGAAACCGGGCGCAATTCAAGCCTGTAAAGTAAGAGAGAGAAGAAAGAAAAACCTAGGGGGCATCTCAACATTGCAAATTTGAGAGAACTCTTTATGAGAAAATGATAATCGCTATCTTCACAACCTGCAGCCGTACCCAGAGATAGATAGATGATATAAGTTGTGAAACAGTAATTTGCAGTGAAACTCTCCTAGATCAGGGACTGTAATAACTAATTATCACTAAAACGGGGTAGCCTCACCGATCAGGGTTGTTTTTCTTTAAGTCCCTGATGTCACTCATTAACAATAAAAAACAAAACAAAATAGAGCAAAGAAGGGGGGGGGGGGTTATACTCCGGTTGGCCTGGCTGGGCTGGCTTTTTTACATGTGGCGAAATGTTAGACTTAATTTAAAACTTGGGTCGTCTGATTGGCTGGGCTGAAGGCGGAAGAACAGCAGAAATGATCCTTTTTTTGTTTTTGTTTGCCACCAAATTTATTTTCACAAAGTGCACATGCACCAATTTAAAAATTATCCTAGGGGTGACCTTCCGGGCTAAACCACCTTACAAGTTATAGAAATTTGCAAAAGTTCGCAAGAATGAAATTGACAGTTGACAAAAAATTACATTGTAACTATTTACCAATTTGGAAATTCAAAACTTTCAATAAACATAGCAATAACGGCGACAAACACAACACCGACCGAAATACAACAACTTCAAACAAAACAACAATACAACACCCCGAATGTGGATTGCAGAAAGGACGGGATGGGCACCAGCAAAATGCTCAATGGGTTACCATTGAAATTTACCTCTACAGAGTGTCGGTCCACGCGCGCGACCGGACTGACTCCAGAGATTCTCCACCGAGCTCCTATAGGCCCTGGTGAGGCTGAAGAAGCGTTGGTGCCCACGTTACGGCTATTCAGAAAACTCGAGTCGCCAAAATCCCAGGCTCCCAACATGGCCACAGGATAGCCAGACGACAGTGTCTAGTGCACTGCGACCAAGTCTCCCCCAAGTCTCTAACATCGCTACTTCACCAGGTTAAGTTAGCGAGTCTGCAGGGAAACTCAGCAGCGGCGCCACTTTCCGCCGAATAACATGTCGTTATGTTCTTAGGATTCGTTTGATTTGTCACGCTCCCACGGAAAAGAGCCTGGCAGCGGTTTTCCTCTAGACAGGATGTGCATTGTCGAGTTGTCTTCTCGCTCACGCACATCCTGGCTGGAGGAAAACCGATGAATTTTGAGTTACCCAAGGGCCGAATTTTCGTTTCAGCTGGCAACTCTGCTGCCATTACAGCAGGTGAACATGAACCGGAGGTATCTTTAACCGGGCTTTGATGTAATGGATGAGATGAACAATTGTACAGTCTGTTGTGATCTTTTACAGAATAAAACCTTGTGCTCTATTGCAATTGTTATCCTGAGGCAACTCATTACCTTTAATTGAAGTACAACCATTAAGCACTCTTCCCTTCTTATTGTTGAAAAAAAATATTACATTCATCCTATTAGGACAGTTATTTAAGAGAAATAAAGTTCTTCCCATAAAGATAACTGTTCCTAATCCTACAAAATTTTAAAACACTGTGACACGTACATGCATTTGAAGCGGTACACATTTATTTCAGTTACACCTGTTGTTTCATTGAGATTCTTCTGCTAAACCCTGATTGAGGTGGCAACAAATAAAAGGTCATGATTGGAACAATAGCAAGAAGAAACACAATGACAGGATTTTTAGTCAAAGCGCCTATTTCAAAAACATCTAACTCTTGTTTGTAGTTGATATGGTTTAGTTGCTGCGATTGAAAATTCTTTCATATAATGTGATTTGGAACCCACATTGTGAAATTAGGTATTTAGGTTAGAAAACCATACAGGGTGTAACAAAAGTCCGTCCTACCCCTGCTGACTTTTGAACAAATTCTAACTTTCGAGCGTCATAAAAATTTAAGGCAATGTAACCAAAGAATCAAAACCTTATAATCAGGGTTGGTGCTTTAGCTTTTGCATCCATTTTCTTGAGCAATGTAAGCAGTCAACTATTGTTAGGAAAAGGTAGCTAGGAACGTTAATGCTGTCAGAGGTCGCTGCTGTCATAATGATGTCATCTATAGTTGTCTCAGTCAGAACGACCAAACGTTTTAGTCTTCTCAGTTAGTGTAACCAAATTTTTTAGTTGCATTAATTAGAGCAATCAAAGTTTTTAGTCGGCTCAGTCTCGACTAATTAATCAGCTGTAGCGATCAGTTACATTTTTTAGTCATATACAGTTGCTGGCAAGTGTGGAGTTACCGGCAACAGAGATAACTGCTGTGAGTTGCATCATTTAGTGCTCTTGACCCAGATTGTACAGGGTGTGACAAAAGCCCGTCCCAACCCTGCTAACTTTTGAACGAATTGAGCTAGGGAAATGAAACTTTGGGAATGTTCCTATCTCAAAAGAGACCGTCTTTTCTTTTTTTTTGGGGGGGGGGATCAACATTTTGGTCCCCCTCAAGGGGGGGGGGCGGGGGGTCCCCAACTTTTTGTCCCAAATGTCAACCCCTATCGTGTGATACCTCATTCGAAAGAGCATAAAAAACTAAGAATTTTACCGCAAACCGCAGATCAATATCTTAATTTTTGACCGAGTTATGAAAGGTCAAGGTCAAAGACCTATTTTCAAAAAATCATAACTCCGGTTCAAATTATCGTAAAGAAAAAAATGAAACAGGAAAATAAACCAAATGGTGTTCGCTTTTAAGTAAAAATAGAAGAAATCACTTCGAACTAATTTTAAGGGGGGGGGGGTTCGGACCCCCAAATACGTCAATTCAAAGTTCATTCAATTTTCCTGCGAAATAAGACAATTTCCCCTAAATTTGCCTCCACATTATCTCAGTAGGAACAAAATCAGTTCAACATTACGTTGAACCAAAAAACGACGTTTACCAAAAAAACGAAATTTAAGGTGATGAAATTTGACCGTTTAAATTTCGTTTTTTTTTAACTTTTTCCGAAATTTGAGGACTTGCCAACGTAATGTTGAACTGATTTTGTTCCTACTGAGATAATGTGGAGGCAAATTTAGGGGAAATTGTCTTATTTCGCAGGAAAATTGAATGAACTTTGAATTGACGTATTTGGGGGTCCGAACCCCCCCCCTCTTAAAATTAGTTCGAAGTGATTTCTTCTATTTTTACTTAAAAGCGAACACCATTTGGTTTATTTTCCTGTTTCATTTTTTTCTTTACGATAATTTGAACCGGAGTTATGATTTTTTGAAAATAGGTCTTTGACCTTGACCTTTCATAACTCGGTCAAAAATTAAGATATTGATCTGCGGTTTGCGGTAAAATTCTTAGTTTTTTATGCTCTTTCGAATGAGGTATCACACGATAGGGGTTGACATTTGGGACAAAAAGTTGGGGACCCCCCCCGCCCCCCCCCTCTGAGGGGGACCAAAATGTTGATCCCCCCCCCCAAAAAAAAAGAAAAGACGGTCTCTTTTGAGATAGGAACATTCCCAAAGTTTCATTTCCCTAGCTCAATTCGTTCAAAAGTTAGCAGGGTTGGGACGGGCTTTTGTCACACCCTGTACAATCTGGGTCAAGAGCACTAAATGATGCAACTCACAGCAGTTATCTCTGTTGCCGGTAACTCCACACTTGCCAGCAACTGTATATGACTAAAAAATGTAACTGATCGCTACAGCTGATTAATTAGTCGAGACTGAGCCGACTAAAAACTTTGATTGCTCTAATTAATGCAACTAAAAAATTTGGTTACACTAACTGAGAAGACTAAAACGTTTGGTCGTTCTGACTGAGACAACTATAGATGACATCATTATGACAGCAGCGACCTCTGACAGCATTAACGTTCCTAGCTACCTTTTCCTAACAATAGTTGACTGCTTACATTGCTCAAGAAAATGGATGCAAAAGCTAAAGCACCAACCCTGATTATAAGGTTTTGATTCTTTGGTTACATTGCCTTAAATTTTTATGATGACGCTTCGTAATTTGAATTGAAACAATTTGAATTATCTATTAATTCCAACAAAATTGGAAAGAGCCGAGTCTTCTTCGGTCGGAGGGGACTAAAAATTCTATTTGCTAGCACCCAGAGTAATTGTTTAGTTGGTTTAAGAACTAAGAGCTTAGATGCGACTAAACCTTGGGTCAGATTGAATTTGCCTTCAGATTAAATACAAATAGTAATAAAGTTCAATTTATCTTTTCCAGAAATGAGAAAATCGAATAGTTTGCTGAGATTTTTAGGGATTGAAGGGATTTGGGGTGATTTTCCTGGACTCTCCTGGACAACATTGTTGGGGGATTTTTTTTTTTAACAGAAATTTAATACCGCAATGTTCATGAATTTAGAAAAGTTTAATGATACTCTTAAAATGATATGCATAAGGACCACAAAAATAAGTATTTGTAAATACAGTAACAATGTCCAAATTGTTATTTGTTGGTGCCCAAAAAAAAACAAAACACTTCGTCTGTAAAAAGCAATTCTCACTCTCAGACACTACTGGGCGTTCAATGCACGATTTGCTTAACTTCACATCCACCTGTTTGGTGGTTTGAGAAAGTTTCGCCCCCCTGAAACCCAACCACTCACTCTGTGGGTGACGTTGGGTTCGCTGGACAGGCATCATTTGACATCATAAAAAATCAACACAATGAAAGTCAACACAAAGAAAACCTCCTATAGTTGAGCAACACGACTTTGTGGTAGAAATATTTCTCCATGTGTACATACATAAATCTTAAGGCTGAGTTGGGAAAGAATAAGCCCACATTCAAACCAATCAATTCCTAAAAACTGTTAACACAGAGAGAAGCTGACCATCATTGGCCATTGTTTTTTTATACTTTTTTTCATATTTTTTTCCCATGCTTCCTTCCTTTCTTTTTTTCAACATAATTTTATCCTGCTTCTTTAAACTCAGTGCACCAACTACAGATGAACAAAGTTACGAGTAGCTACACAATTTTTATAGATCCTCTCCTGGTTATCAAAATGCACACATTTTCTCAGCATCTTGCTTTACAAAGACCTATGTAGAGTTGTCTGTGAGCAAACCGATTTCCTCTAGAGTCCAGATCAACTGAATTCAATGGATAGCCCTGGGACTCATCAACTGTCAAAGTATATGCTAGTTTAATTGGAAGCTGTCCTCATGTTATCTCTGTACCATTTATCCCTGCTGTAAACAGGGTAACCCTGAGGATCGAAAATGCTTTTGGCGTATTTTCAAATGTGTAAATCTCTAATAAAAATTTAAAAATTCTGATAACGCCATTGAGTAATTTATCTTCGAGATTTAAATTTCGAATGAATCTGAGTAAGGTGCCACCGTTAATTTTCAAAATCCAAAATTTCATAGTTGACATCTGATCATGGGAAATTATGCAAATGCCATTAGCCCAGCATTTTGTGGAGATTCCCATGAAAAGCTTAAGAAATCATTGATTGTATGAGCTATTACAGTAAGGGGGAAAAAAAAAGGAAAAAGCAACACTATTAACATTCATGAGCAAAGTGATCCAGAAAAATAGGCAAAATTAAAATTAGGTGTTTTGGGTGATATTAACACTCTGCTTATCTTGCTATGTACATAGAAACCAATATTTTACCTAACCTAAACAAAGATTGAAAATAAGAATTGAAATCTTAACATGCCAAGCCCTTCTCAGTAGGTATTTTCAAAGGGTATATTAGGGGAATCTGTAACATGTACTCACATGTCATAGATTTGATTAGCTACATTTCAGAGAAGCTTGGTTTTGGAGCCATGGAAGAGATATGGCAGAGATCTATCAGAAATTAGAAAACGAAGCAGCGGGAGATCAGCATCTAATAAGGTAGGAGATATCTACCAAGGCAGGCAAGACCAGTTGATGGTGGTTGGCATCAAAAACTAAAAACTCGACGATGAAGTAATTTTGGAGAGGTAAAATTTTTTTCCAAACCAAGCAAGGCACCCAAGGTGGGGAGGACAAGTGTCGAAATGGTTTTCTCATCTCGTGCTCTTTCCATCACAAAGAGGAGATTACAACAAAGATCATCCTCTTACTTGCAAAACATTAATTGGATTGCCAGATTTGACAACTTTTATTAGAGTGAGCAGTGTATATTTAAAAGAATTCAATTTTAAAATCAGAATTTTTCGCACTGGTAGTGCAACATACTAAATTTGGACTCTTCATTTTATTGAAAAATAATTTGTTGCATATATTAACACATTATAAGTATGTTTCGATTACATATGTATGTATGTTCTGTATGAGATCTCGAAGCAGCTAAAATAATATAAAATTTACTAACCAGGCTTGAGAATATGGTAGATGGTCTCTATGAATGAAACTATGTTATGAGCACAGTCAATGAAGAAGCAGGTTGCTACACAATCCCACTCGGCCTCCTGTTTGTAAACCTGCAGTTACAGAAAAATTGTTTAATCCCCTCATCCAAAATGAAATATGCAATGTTATAGTAGATAAGTGAAAAAATTGAAACAAAGACTGTACCCACTACTTAAAGTCAAAAGGTGGTTCCCAGTGCATGAAGGAAACGTATAAAATTTCCAGTCTAGAACCGAAAAAAGAATAAAGCGCACTCATGGACCTCAATCAGAGGATACCGCAAGAAACGTAAATCTTGATTTTAATAATACAAATTAGGATCATTCAAAAAGTCCTATCTTACAGCGATGGCTGAGTACAATTTCTGGGGAAATGAGGTGTCAATGGAAACTTGCAGGAGGTGCAATCTTGGTATCTTGAGACATGAAGCTCCTGCAACTTTCCGAGTGCAAGTTGGCAGGTCACCAAGCTGCCGAAGGATTAGGACAGGACTAGAGTTCAGTTTGGCTGGCTTCAGTATTGCCTCTAAGTAGTTGGCTGTGAATTGGATAGGACTTTTTCTCGCTGAGATCCTGTGCCCTGCAAAGTAGGAGAGATCCCGCTACGCTAATTGTAGTTTGTGTCTGTTTGCTTGGTGATTAAAGTCTAGCTCCACCTCTAGCATTTGTGGTTTTTGGGCAAGTACTAGTCTGTGTAAGTAATCTGTAGGTACCTTCTGAAGAAGAAATTTAGTAATTTTATTCGTCAAGTTACCTACACTATGCAGCATTGCAGCACCTCTCCACAGAAGTGGAATTGTAGGCGATTTTCAAACCGTTCAGTGGGATAAGTTTTGTAAAAACTATTGGCTTTCCTTTATCAAGGGGTCGATTTTAAATTTCTATGGATTATTTGAAAGCCGAGCAATTTCTCTGACAATGTGTGTTACCCATGTGCGAGGTTCCTTATTGCCAGTTATCACCATTACCTGGTGCTTGCTCAGTGATTTATTTTCATGTTTCATTTCCAGGTTGACAAAAGAGATAAAAATATCCCAAAATATTCTAAGCATTTTCTATCTTCCAGGTACCTTTCAATTATTTTATTCCATCAAAGTTTGGTGACAATGGAGCTCTTGCATGCATCCAGGATTTGCAGTTTCAGTGCTTTCTTCTAACGGTAAAATTTTGACGAAACACAATGGTGCCATTGTTTTGTCTGAAGTGAACTTCCAAGCTCAGAAAAGGACTCAAAGTTGAGACCGTGATTGAGGGGATCCTCCATAGTACCCTGAGGATCCACGTATATAACTAGTTAAAGTATCCATGAATGGATAGGGAGCAAAGATATTAGCAGGATTGCCATGGTTCCAGCCTGTGGCAATCCTACTAATGTATTTCTTAGAAAGCAGTTAGAGAACTGCACATGGAAAGTTTGACTTGATATAAAGGTGGACTTTCTGCATAGCATGGGTGATCCCCTACATTACAGTTTAAAATTTGAGAGCCCTTCTTAAGTTTAGGAGTATATTTTAGAGAAAACCAGTAACACTGACGTGTTTCTCGCAAACTTGTGCACAAGAAAACGTACTTGGATTGCACATCTCTGATGCAGACAAGAGCTCTATTAACCTGCTCAACTTACTTGAGTGTTCCTTATTTAATAAGGTGACAATAAAGTTAAGATTGTCAGAAGAATTGTAAGATAGTGATACCTGAAGGAAATCTCCGGCTATCATGAGAAACTGATTATTTTGCATGGTATCACGAGGATTTACATCTGGAAATGTAACTCGTGCAGTTTGATGAGAACTCAGAACATTATTCTCACTTTGATAAAGCCATGGATAAATGACGTGTTGATTTTCTTGATAGCACCTGTAAAAACAACAGGAGAGCCCATTAACTTACTCGTTTTCTTCTGATGGTTTTCTCCTTTTAAATAATGTACATTAGGTAAAAATGAGAACCTTTCACTGAAAATGGATCACTGGATAGTACAGGGTAAGAAATTAAGCACTGAAGCACATGTTTTTTCATTCGAATTTCACGGAGAACACATGGAACTTATCGTCCATTGTCCGCATAAATGCAGCCACAAAAGGTATCATTCAGGGGTGGGATCGAGCCTCAGGTTGGGACAGCACGGTTTCAATTTACATATTTTATTCTCAAATTACACAGTCTATTTGCTTGCCAGGGAGTATAACTTTAGTCTCCTTACAGAGGAAGAAAAGTCTTAAGCAAGTGACTGACCATTGTTGAAGGAGTTGCAAACAGTGTCACCATTAACACCATGAACTTAAAGGCTCTTCTTTGCTATACCTGCCTTTTCATAAGGATTTCTTAGTCTATTGTTATGAACTGCAATTTGAGAGACCAGGGCAAATTACACTCACCGTTACAATTGTATTATGAATTTTAGGATGTATAAACTTTATATATTAATTGCAAAGAGAGTCATCAGAACTGCTCAAAGGGCATTATCTTTATTTTTCACCTAGGAATATGTAAGATATATGTTCGAAAAAATTTCAGAATCCCCTTACTTGTTGAGAACATAATTTGATGTTATGAGCATGTATCCAGAGAACTCATTCCCATGACAGGTATAACCTAGCCGGGCAATTTCAAAAGCTAGACGCCCTAATCCAGCACCAGGAACCAAAACCTTAATAGAACTAGTATCACTGAAACAAAGCCAGATTATTAAATGAGAAATAATTTAACATTCGAAGGTAAGAATAAACTATGGCGAAATTGAAAAAAAAAATGGTAGAATATTTTGGTAGAATCAGACTTAAGTACATGGAACATATGGGATGACCAAAAAAACATTTCGCTAGTCGTTCGAAGACAGGATGATCAATAAAAATGGAAAGTTAGGTAGTAGATCAAACAAACCTCGAGTTCTTCTTCAGTTATATTCAACAGCCAGTATATTGTTTTTACACATTCGTTCTTGCTTTATCAGGAGAACCTCCAGACAGCAAGGTCTAAGAAAGCAATGCATATGCTTCATGAGTCCATTTTTAATAATAATAATAATTATTATTATTATATAATATTGCCCTGCCACAGTCCTGGAGGATCAGCGCTTTCGGCTCTACTGGGGCAACCCGATCTTAACCGATAAAACCATCATGGCGAACAGGCCGGACATGGTGCTTGTTGATAAGCGAGATCGCACCGCTTGCATCATCGATAGTAGCATCCTTAATAATCATAACTTGGAGCTGGAGTATCAAGAAAAGATGGCAAAATATCTGCCTTTAGCTGCGGAAATGAATCGATTATGGAGCCTGAACACTGTTTGCATCAAGCCCCTTATAATGTCAGTAACGGGGATAGTTCCAAAAAGTTTAATTCGACATCTTCGAGACCTTGGAATAGAGAGTTACCTGCTTCATTCAATGCAGAAGTCCGTCGCCATAAGCACGTCAAGTATTGTCAGGTCGTTTCTTAATATCGATTAATTTTCTGATTTCACTTTAAAATTTAAGTTTTTTAATTTTTTAATTTTACTTGGAAATAAAATTTACTTTTCATTTGAAGCAAGATAGTGCGTATTACTGACTTTGGCCTGTGGCCCGTCAGTAATACTTGTGCCGGAAGTGTTCCCTCTTCCGAGTTAAAAAAAAAGATCTAATGATAATAATAAGTCTCATAATAGATGTCCCTTATCCTTTTGGACTACAACATACTTCAGAAAGAAGCTGAAAAACGAACGAAGTACAAGAACCTGGCAATTGAAATACAAAGAATGTGGGAGGTTTGGGGGGACACCTCGAGAAGAAGAGGGGTGGGGGGGCCTCCCCCGGAAAACTTTTAAGAAAGTGGGCCTTACCAGATTGATTTTTAAGCAGTTTTAACATACAATTTGTGCATTATTTGACAGTTAAAAATTGACTAGTAATACCTCTTTCAGCGTAATTTTATTTTGGTATATGGACTAGGTATTTATTACTGCGGTGTTGAGCAACCTTAGGTTTGGTAAACTTAGGTTATATAGCTCTGTCTTTAAAATATTTCAGTAAATGTCGAGAAGCACTCCTGCCCCCTTACCAATTGTTCTTTCTCTTTTTTGGCCCGAGGGGGGGGGAGGGGGTGTCATGCCACCATGGTCCTTCCTTCTTGGATCCGCCACTGAAGAGTAGGGAAGGAGTGAGGGGAGCAGGGCGGCGCGTAAATTCGTCCGCAAAATCGCCCCTTCAAAACCTGAACGCGCAACATTGGTTGTTCGAAATTTCGGACTCGATCTTGGAAGCCAACAATAGCTATTTTACGATTTCTTCCTGATATTATCGTAATTTCATCATTTTCCCCGACATTTCCCGGTTTTCCCTCACTCTGGCAACCCTGAGCGTGACAACGACTTTTTAAATTTCACGTTGTTTTTAAAGCAAGAACTCCGTTTGTACCGCATTGTGTTTAGGACGAAGAACAATTGCACTTTTTGAACCCCTGGCCTTCGAAAAGCGAGAAGTGTGCTACTGCCTCTCTAAGTGATACTTATTTTTTTTTGCCAATTTCATCTAATTTTGAGTTGGTTATGGAAACTTCCTGCAGTTCGTTCCCTGAGACCCAATTTTTTAGAACGCCAGCAGCCGTAGCAATGCGATGTTTCTTGTTCCTCACTTCAAGAATGACTCCTGGAAGATTAGAGTTGTCTAAAGGCCCGTGGTCGAATTTCGAAACACTGATAATGACGGCGGCGCCAACCTTCAATGGGCCGTGCAGGAAATTACTTCTTTCAGACATTTTTTCAGCAGCTTTTGTTAGGCTTTCTCTGGATTTCTGCCTTTCTTCTTGTATTCTCGCCTCTCGTTTTGCTGGTGGCGTCAACTGTTCAGTTTCTTTGCCGTTATCCGTATCTCTTTTCCTCTCATTAGTATTACTCTCCGTTTCAAGTCTCCTTAAACTGTCTTCTGAATTTATTTTTTCAAATAGCTCTGCAGGTGCATTACTTGTAGCTAATCCTGCTTTCGGATCAGAGCCATAAACGCAGCGATATGGGCTTCTTGTTTTATAGAAAGAATTATTCTTCTGCCGCTGGACAAATTGAATTCCCAGGGACCATTTCTTTGAATTTTGACTGCGCATCCACGCTCGCAACATATTTTCGATGTCTTGGTTACATCTTCCGATAGATCCCTGGGATTGTGGATGCCGTGGCCTCCCATGAACAAATTTACACCCAAGCCAGAGAGAGACTAGCTCCGTTATAACTTTTGCGACAAATTCCTTGCCATTATCACTTTGCAATTAATATGGTATACCTTGTGTCAAAAGTATTTTTAGGAGCTCTAAAGCCACCTTAGAGGCCCTTTGGAACGTCGGAGCTCTCAGGTGACAAAACCTTGCAGCGTGATCTTCATAATTCATAATCCATTTGAAATCACCATCTGGTACTGACTGTAAATCCACTAGGTCAACTTGGCCCCTAGATTGAAAATCTTAAAGGTTAAACAACCAAATTTTTATGCTGCATTTGCTTCTTAGCAGGGCAAATAGTACACAGTTAAAGAAACTCTTGGATGATGGCTCTAGTAACTAAATTCGTGCTCTATTTTATCCCTCCCACCATGCCCGGTTCTTGTGTGGCATTTAATCAGTTTATCATACAACTTTTCATAGGGAATGACGAATATAACAGGATCTTCTAATGATTTTGTCTTAGGAACAATATTTGTTGTGCCTCTGACTTCCAGTAGTTCGTATTTTCTTCTATAATAATCAATAAAACCTTTAGTTACAGTCTTCACATCGTAACACCTGAGTACTCCGACAACTTTTTTGTGGTGAGATACATCCCTCTTTATTCTTCGAGCACTATCTTTACATTCTCCTTCTCCTTTGAATTGTTCTTCAAAAAATGCATTCAACTTCAATTCAAAATGTTCCTTGTTAACACCACAGTCAGTTGCACTTTTTACACCATTTCCCGTTCCGTTATTTGCGCCACTTTTCATTGCCATTTTTGTAAATTACTACAATAGTTCAGGAATTAGACGTTGCAAAAATAATATTGAATAAATAACGCGTATTTATAATTACCAACACGAATAGACAAATACTGCTATATTTTACAACACAACACGAGGCACACTACAGAGACGACTCTAAACTATCTCAAAAGTTCATACTCTTTCCGTGTCTGGCGCTGGCTTCCTTTAAACGTAAACCGAGTCCGGGTGACTGTCAAGTTCACAATCACCTTCTTATCAAGGCACTGCTACATTCACAGCATAGATAATGCCCCAGCCGGTCCTCAGCCACTTCTCACTCATTATTACGGCGGTGCCGCCATCCCCCACTTTTCGTTCTTTTTCCCATTCACACTAATTATTTTTGATTCATCACTTGCGGCTTGCGAATTGCCTAGGCAGTTTGTATGTTCCCTAGGAAATACTCCAGTTCGCAAATTGCCTAGACAATTTGCATACCGGTTGAATATTACTGGCGACTGCGGATTGTCTGCTACATATATATTATGGAGATTTTCAAGAAATGATACTCCGGAATCGGTTTTCAGGCTAAAAAATTTCAGTTTTGTTATAAACTTAATATAGCTAAATGATATATGTCATTGATTTCAAAGTAACAAGAAACTGTGGTATCGGGAGGGCCCTTACATCTGAGTGTCAGTTTTATGAATAATAATATAGGGTAATAGTATATCCAGAATATAGAGAGCAAGGCTTACCCCATGGGCTCAAGGGACCTTAGTGATGATCTGTAGATAAGTTACATCTAACAGAGTCCCCAACAACATATTTTAGGCAATTCAATTAGTGCTTCATAATATAATCCGACGAAGAAAAACCTGAATAAGCAAGGCTCCTTGAAGAAGTTCCAAAAGCATTACACATGATTTGGTTAGGCAATGTCAATGGATCTTACCATTTACCGGAAGGAAATTGTCGTTTGATTTCTTGGATTATTGGTTGATATGAGGCATTTCTTTCTTTTTTCCCTTCCTCACTCCAATCTCTGGTTAGCTGCTTCAGAGTGACTTGCACTTTCTCAATTTCTGATGATGATGGGATGAGATCTTTGTTCTTTGTGTCAACTCCATTCTAAAATCAATAAAAGATAAATAGAAGATCTGCTGCCCAAGCTGCAAGTAGAACTCTCATGCCTGGTTTTTCGTGGCAAACAAGAGGAATGAACATGTAAGAAAGGTCAGGAATAGGTTGAGATAAAAAACATACACTAGGCGCTGCCATACAAGTCAATGTCTACAGGAAAAAAGCGCTGTACTCTCATCTCATGTAATTTGCTCATGGCTCAATTTATAAGAGCAGGAAACGCTGAGCTTGGTTTAATATAGCTCCAGCTCGTAAACGGAGAAAAAGATCCTTCACTGCTTCTAAACAGGACATGGCTTAGTGGGGGACCACGCATAGAGGCGCTCAGATTGAAAGTTTTCGCCAGTGAAACAGACAACTACTGTTCAATGACAGAAGTCAACACAACACAAATCAATAGATGAAAAAAGAATCTAAAGCTAAAAATCAGATGACAACTACTTGCACATGACCAGCACATGACTTTCTGCACGCTAAAACAATAAAGGAAGCTGTTCCGTGACGAGTTCACAAAGAAAATTTGAACTTACCAAAACCGGAAGTAGTAGGACCGCCATCACACAGCTTGAACCAAAGCGCATGGAGAAATGCAAAAATTTCACCTTCGACCCACATCATAGTCATCAGTTCAAGAAAATTTTAAAAAAATTCAATATTGTCCTCTGCTTTAACACTCAGTATTGTGTTGACAAACAGTTGGGCAAGAAAAGCAAGAGATCCAGGGACACGGAAGAACAAGCAGGAATTTATTCAATTCCCTGCCAAACTTGCCAAAAGGTCTACATTGGCCTCATGAAAAGATCTGTTGAAGCAAGAGGACAAGAGTATGCTAGTCACATCAAAAATCGTGAAATTATAAGATTGGTCGTAGCAGCACATTGTCGAGAGAAGAACCACTGGATTGTCCCCAAAACCAACCGTAGTGAAAGAGACCTGTGATCTAGCAAAACTATAAATGTGGGAGAGCATTTTCATACACAAAAATAAGGGAATTTGTTACAACCTAGACATTCCTCCACCAAACTCATTCTTTAAAGCCTTAATGTCTGGCAGCCATGACCTATCAGTTGCACCGATGATGAGCCGCCTGCTCCAAACGTATCTGCACAATACAAATGAATTTTGTCGCAAGTGAGTAAACACAATTTTAAAAAAAATGTAATTACTTGACCTAAGTACCTAAGTACAGCTTGTGCAGAAACGCTCCCTCAATTAAAAAAATTGAAAATTAAGTTGTTTGCCTGTACCTATAAAATCCTTCACTCACCTCACTAAGTCCAAAATTTTCAAACATGGATGAAACATCTTTAATGATAGATTTGATGACACTATAATTATCTTCAATACAATTCCTGAGAACTTGGAAGTTATCTTTGTACTTTGAAAGTAAATTCTTATGCGCAACGGGTAAAGACTCAAAATAATCTTCAGTCCTCTGAAGTCTTTCAAGAGAATAGTCCCTGAAATAAAAAGAAGGAAGATTTAGTTCAAATTCGTTTTCAGCACTTGTGATAGAAATGAGTTGTTGTATGTTCTGAATGTTGACATCTGAATTTCCTAAGAACATGAGTATTGATTTTCTCTGCAAATATGTTTTTGCTATTATTTTCTGATTCCTTCTAATCCTACAGGGTGTCCCAAAAGTCCCTTCCACCCCCTCTGAAATTTTACCTAATTAATATTTTGGAACGAAACTTTGGGGACGTTCATAAATTAATAATTAAAGTTTGCTACTTTTGGCCCCCCCCATGGGGAGGAACTACGGACCCCCCTTTTTTTCTTTTTTTTTCAAGTGGCAAACCCCCCCCCCCCCCTTTAGTGACACACCGACCGGAAGACAGTGCTGTCTGATAAGCCAAACCGTGCGGTTGCATGCAGTTCGGCGCTCCCCAAAATCGACCGTAATAATCTCTTTTGTTTCGAAGTGTCTATGCTGCCTTGGCAGCTTCACTTTTAATGGGCTTTTGTGGCAGTCAGTTCAAATAACCGCAGGTAATTCAAGGTAATGCTACCTTCACTACTTGTTCGCCTTTTCTACCATGATGCAAAATCGTGTATCACGAAATAATGTAAAAAACAGGAAGTGCTAGGAAAAGGGAACTCATGGAATCTTGACATCTTGCAAAAATTACAAAGTACTGGCAAAATTTTTTTTTTGGTAAGAAAGAAACATAGGTAACACAGGCTTGACATACGATGAAGGAAAAAACTACCTAACAAATCTGTGCACATCCACATATTAAAGGCAGTGGAACTTTAAATATTATTGCGTCTTACAGGGTTGTTTCTTGATTATTTTCATGCTTGAGTTTGATAATTTACTTAACATTTTACTTCCAAAAACCATTTTAGTTATTTATTTAATTTCTTAAATTCAAAGTTGCTAAAAAACACAAGTTCCTCTGTAATTTTGTTTTCCGTTTTACAATTTGTTGTGAGTTTATAATTTATTATACAACCCTGAAAACACCACTTTGTTTTGGATGGTACATGCATCGAATCAAACGAAAAATGAAAATTATAGTGTCAGCTCCACTAGAAAAATTCAGAGGTTCATTGCGAAATGGCTCCTCGCAGAAGTGCAGAACAATACATGTTATAGGGGATAATACTTTGAGAAGATATACTGACCGGTAATTCTCGAAAGTCCAAACGATTTTTTGAAAATGCTCCTTCTCGTTTTCGTCTTCACAGGGATCCATCGAGACTCGCAAAGAAATTACGGATGACCTGATGACTTCTCAGGGAAGATCAGTTGCGAAGAAAAATTGACAGAATAGAGAGAATATACAGACAATAAGCGCACAAAAATAAGTTGTGTGCTTAAACATAAGCGAAACAGAATCTGTAAGTAGGTCACGACAAATTATAGGGGACGAATATAGCTTGCAGTAGCAGTATCATAGAATAATACGCTAAGGCTTTAGCCGAATATTACTTTACGGCAGTATGAAAATAAGGATTTTATTAGGGAAGGTTAGGTTAGGTTCATGCATACAGAAAATCATTGACTTATAATCATAATACCAAGACCAATCCACACAGGTCAGTCATTCCCGTGGACGAGTTTTGGTACTCTACTGCGCAGTGACGTACTATTGAGTGCTTGCAATGTATTTCTTATGGGAGCACCCGTTGTGACGTACTATTGAGTGCAGCCGAGTTAGGGCCGGGCGGGGAAGTGGCTTTCAAAAAGATGCGCAATGACTGACCTGTGTGGATTGGTCTTGCATAATACAATCTAGACCGCGCGCTAGGCCCGACTTTAGGCGGGAGAGGTAAGACAGCTAGAGGGGGTAAACCAATGTTAAGACGCCCCTTCAGCTTATTTGATACAACCTGATATACATGTAGTGCCGACCACGACGACCACAACACTTGCGACTAGAGTATGTACTATACAGGGTGTTAGAAAAGTCCCCTCCCCCCATCTAACTTTTTACCTAATTGAGATAGAGATTAGAAACTTGGAGGATGTTCCTAGGTCAAAGGGAGCTACTTTTTGGTCCCCCTAAAATTTTCGGGGGTCCTCCCTTTGGGGGGTAACGGACCCAACTTTTTTTTTCAAATAGGAAGACCCCCTTTGTGATACCTCGTTCGAAAGAGCATAAAAAAAGAATTTTTTTCGCGCAAACCCGAAGTCATTAACTTAAGCCGTTTCAAAATGGCGGCCGATTCAAGTTCAAATGGCCAAAAATTGGCATCTCGGCTATTTGCACATGGATTTGTTTGAAACTCAGAATCTGTGCGTATTTTCGCACGAGAAAAACGAATTTGACATTAGATTTTTGAAAAAAAACCGTAATTTTTCAAAATGGCGGCCGGTTAAGGTCCAAAATGGCCGAAAAGTGACAAACTTGAGTCGTAACGTCAAATTCGTTTTCCTCGTGCCAAAAATACCCCCAGATATCAAGTTTCAGGCGAATCCATCGGCAAAAAATCAAGTTTGTCAATTTGCGGCCATTTTGGACCTTAACCGGCCGCCATTTTGAAAAATTACGGTTTTTTTCAAAAATCTAATGTCAAATTCGTTTTTCTCGTGCGAAAATACGCACAGATACTGAGTTTCAAACAAATCCATGTGCAAATAGCCGAAATACCAATTTTCGGCCATTTGAACTTTAACCGGCCGCCATTTTGAAACGGCTTAAGGTAATGACTTCGGGTTTGCTCGAAAAAATTTCTTTTTTTATGCTCTTTCGAACGAGGTATTGCAAAGGGGGTCTTCCCATTTGAAAAAAAAAAAGTTGGGGTCAAAAGTGGGATCCCGAAAATTTTAGGGGGGCAAAAAAGTAGCTCCCTGTGACCTAGGAACATCCTCCAAGTTTCAAATCTCTATCTCGATTAGGTAAAAAGTTAGATGGGGGGGAGGGGACTTTTCTAACACCCTGTATACCTTTATATATGTAGAGTCCCTTTATACTGAGAGTCTAGACAATGTGAATCCATTTCTGATTGGTTCCCGTATTTTAGGCCTCCATAGTGTCACAAACGGGAATAAAGATTACATTTTCACCGATTGCAAAGATTATAATCTAGAATGGACCAGGGAAAACTGGATCGACAAGGAACAATCGGAATGAGAGAAGGAACAGAGAAAGGAATTTGAGAATGAGCTAATCAAAGATTACGAAAAACTGTCAATTTGTGTAATTTGTGTAATCTTGATTCCCGATTGTGACTTCATGAGGGGGGGGGGGGGTTGTCTTGACTTTCAGTATAGAAAAACCTTCATACAGGGTGTAACGAAAGTCCGTCCCACCCCTGCTAACTTTTGAACGAATTGAGCAAGGGGAAATGAAACTTTGGGTATGTTTCTGAGTCAAAGGGTAGAGTACCTTTATAGACAGAGTATGGCCATTTCTGTTCCGGTTTTTCATTGGCCGCGTGAAAATGGGCTGACACGATGTTCTTACGGCCGTAAATAAACAAGCAAGATGGCCGTTATCAGCAAGCAAGATTGAGGTTATGCACGTCTCGTCACCTTCCAGGCAAAGTATCACAAGCGCCATGCGACGTTTAAAAATTTCCGTCGCCATTTTATAGCTTTACTGAGAAATTGTTGGTTGAATCTGTTTGGAAATTTCACTAAATTTTATCGGCAGCACAAAGAAAATTCATTGAAATTTTCGGACAGCTTCGTTGAACAATTTCTCTGTAAAAAAATAAAATGGCGGCGGAAATTTTTAAACGTCGCATGGAGCTTGTGATACTTTGCCTGGAAGGTGACGATCTTACATCCTCCTGTGATAAAGGTGAAAGGCGATTTAACAATGTTTTCGTGTGTTATTCGTAGATATGCTTGTTTGAATTGTTACTGCCGTATAATTGAAATTTTTGTCAAATTTAGCTTCTTATCGATGTGACGGTGAGCCGCCATCTTGTTTGTTTATTTACAGCCGTAAGAGCATCATGAAGCCTAAAAACTCGTTGACCAATCAAAAAGCGGAACAGTTTTCGTGTAGTAAAAAGATGCGAATGGCCATACTCTGTCTATGAAGGTACTCTATCAAAGGGTACTAACTTTTGGTACCACCAAAATTCTTGCCGCCCCCCTCCCCCGTGGAGAGCCCCATGAACCCCAACTTTTTTTCAAATGGCAACCCCTATCTTGTGATACACCGTTGGAAAGAACATAAAAAAAATTTTTGGCGCAAACCGTAAGTCCTTAGCCATCACCGTTTCAAAATGGCGGCCGGTTTAAGTTTAAAATGGCGGAAATTGGAGTTTTCGGCAATTTACCGTCGGATCTGTCTGAAACTTGGTTTCTGGAGGTTTTTTGGCGCAAGAAAACTGAATTTGGCACCAGAATTTCCAAATTCTCAACCGTATTTGCAATGGCACCTAATTTGAAGGTAAATGAGCCATTTTCATCGCAGGAATCCTGATGGAAGGAAATGCAGAAGGAATTTGAAAATTTGCATAAACACCCTTGGTTAGTATAACTTTTCATTAAAATAATCAGTTCTTTTAAAATACCACCTTAAGTCGTCTTGTCCCCCTCCAATTCGCGATAAAAAAAAATACTGTCAAAACAGGTATTTTGAAGCGAAAATGCTCAGTTATTAGAAAAAAAATCCCGTTTAAAATGGAAATCTCGATATTTTTTCATTTAAATGACAATAACAAATGACCATACCAATTTTCAAGTTGATCGATCCATTAAAAGCCCCCTTCTCCCCTTAATTTTCCCGCAGACTGCCACAGAATCCGCATTATTTTTAAAAATACTGACACTTTACTGAGGAGGGGGGGGGGGTAATGACGGTCCGATCATCACGAAACTTTGAGAAATATTTAATGTCCGGTTGATGTTATTAGACCATTTTCACTGTGCTACACCCTTCAATTTTCCGGGAAATTGTCAGTATTTTTAAAAATATTACGGATTCTCTGGCAGTCTGCGGGGAAATTGAGGAGAGAAGGGGGCTTTTAATGGATCGATCAACTTGAAAATTGGTGTGTTCACTTGTTATTGTCATTTAAATGAAAAACTATGGAGATTTCCATTTTAAACGGGATTTTTTTTTCTAATAACTGAGCATTTTCGCTTTAAAATACCTGTTTTGAAAGTATTTTTTTATCACAAATTGGAGGGGGGACAAAACCAAGGCGGATAAAGAATGGTGGTCGCATTTCGATTTTGGCTGCCATCTTGAAGCACTGTGACGTCAGGAGGGTACGGCTTTTGCCATGCAATTCGAGGAGGTTGAGCCGACTCCCCCGGCCTCGGCCGGCCCATGTACCCGATGTACCCGATACCGTGTGACGTCCAGAGGGTACGGAATGCGACCACCATTCTTTATCCGCCTTGGGACAAAACGACTTAAGGAACCGGACTGGACCGAACAATTTGAACCGGAGTTATGAATTTTTGAAAATAGGTCAAATTTGACCTATGACCTATCATAACTCGGTCAAAAATTGAGATGTTGATTTGCGGTTTGCGCCAAAATTCTTAGTTTTTTATGCTTTTTTGAATGAGGTATCACAAGATAGGGGTTGCCATTTAAAAAAAAAGTTGGGGCCCCCGCCCCCCTCCTGAGGGGGACCAAGATTTTGACCTCCCACCCCCCCCACAGTTTCGGCTGTGTTCTCGGGAGTTGCACCGTGTTCTGGCCATTTTCCTGTGTGTTCTCTCGAGGTTAGGTTTGGACACAAACGGCGTTCCATAAAAAATATAGCAATTTCATGGTAGAAAAATGTGAATTTTATTGCATTAAATCGCAGTTTTATTACAATATTTTCATTGCACTTTGTTACCTACTTGGGTAAGTAGCCGATGCAAGAATAATGGGCCGTGAGTGGCTGTTGGAATTTATGTTCTTAAATCAATTATATTCGATTTATTAATCGCATTAATTGAAAGAGATTCGATTAATCGCACTATCCATCGACATTGGAACACCTCTGTATTGGCCTCTAGGCTCCAGGGGCCGAATTGTGTCGGTCCTTCAACCCGTAGCCAGTGGAATGTAAATAAATGAGAATAAATGAGATTTATCATGATATCATCTTCATGATAAAGATACCCACAATCTTTTTAAATATGTGACTCCCTAAAGTTCATGTAAAATCCCCGGTACAAGGATCAATATAATCAATGGGTTAATCTTTATGTTAAGATTAAACACTACTTCACACAGGTAAGTCTGTCTTATAGCGTCTCTGATCATCCGGCGGCGCCGAAATGAGTGGAGAAAAACAATGAGGAGGAAACAGAAGAGAGATGAAACAACANGGGGGGGGGGGGGAGAATTCCTCTCTGCGGCGCTCTGATAGCGGCAACCACCAGTGGAATCCGGGTTCCACTGGGCTTTTTTCCGACTATTTGCTGCTGTTTTTGGATTTTTCTGTCCGATTTTTGGTTTAGGTACCCGGACAAATTTCAGTGTGTCCAGCGGCTGATGTTATTGTGCAACCCGTTAATGACGCCATCGAGCATCGTTTATGAAATCTATTAAATAGGTAACCCCATTCGGTAGGGTGGTCCAAACTGGGCAACTTCGGAAAATGAACCGCGACGCCCCCTAAATTCGTTCCTTACCATCCAAATATGATACCTGCCAAATATTTTCGTTCTCCACCAATATTAACGCGTGCCGCCTTGAGGCTGAAAATCTCCAAAAAAAAATTACATTGATTTAAATGGGGCGAACATGGGCCGATCCGCGGTATTTCGTTTTTCGGCTATAAAATGTGTCAACATAAAAACAACTTGATCTTTACTTATTAAGATACCTAGAGGCCAATTGTGAATGAGAAAATCACACATTCGACCCATGGGAAAGGGGGGTAGGGGGTCAAAGCGGAGCCGATTCATAGGCGTTGGTGGGGCGCTGCGCCGCCGCGTACTGCATAATGCGGCTAGGCTGATCTTTTTCGTGCAACTTCGGAAAATGGACTGCGATGCTCCCTAAATTTGTTCCATCCGATCCAAAAACGATCCATGCCACGCATTTTTAATTTCTGATAATACTAAGACCTGCCACCGTGTGACCGTTTTTTGTGAAAATTGAAGAATATAGCAAAAATAGGTAGTAAAAAAGACGAATACTATAAAACTTCGCAACGTAAGCAGCGTTATGCCTCACTTGTGTTCGACCGCGCCTCTAAAATATGAATCTTATGAATCTTGAGTTTCAGCACTTGTGAAAAGTTTTGAGAAACACAGATTTCAGACGGATCCCAGATAACGTCGAACGTTTCAGCAACGTGGAAATCAACGTAGACCTTGAAACATTCCGGGAACGATTACAATTTCTATGTAGGTAGTAATCAACATGGAAGAACAGGGGTGCTCCGAAAACGTCTCACTGGCGACGTAACAGGAACGTGGAAAGAAACGTTGCTCTGTAAACCTAACCTAAAAAGTTAAAATCGCTCTTTCGCCGTTTCGCTGTCTACGTTTCCGGGACGTATAATTCAACGCATTCAGAGACAAGAGACCCTCCACTGGCCTCCTAGCGACAGGTGGAAGCTTTTACTTTCGGGGTTTCAACAATTCCTTATGGACAATTATTAGGGAGCAACAGTCATCACCCTATTTTCGGCTGTTGACTTACCTACATGGTCGATGATGAGCTTCGGGTGACGTCATGAGCCAAACAAGTTTCCTAAACTTCGGCCATTTTCGGCTTGTTTGCGAAACGAAACTGCCAACACGTTGTTAAACATCAACCATGTAGGTAAGTCAACAGTGGAATGCTGAAGTCTCGAAAGTAAAAGCTTCCACCATGACCAAGATACTAGCGGAGGGTCTCTTGTCTTAGAGTCCCTTTATACCCAGAGTTAAGACAACTCACTTTTGGTTGGGCTGAAAGTGGCCTAAAAAAAAACCCAATTCTGATTGGTTCTCGCTCATGGAGGCCGAAACGAGTGCAACAAGATGGCGGTACCTCGAATGTGAACAAGAATAATGAAAATATTACCTAATTGTGGTTCATCAAGAGTAAATTGTTATTTCCATCGGTCCAAAATGAAAATAGATTAAGAAATTATTCACAAACCAATCTCATTTTCTTTTTAATTGATCAATTTGTTGATGTTGTTGTTTTTGTTTGACAGACATCGCAGGATTCCTGATCCTTATCCCTCAATATAGTTCGTTTGGGTGCACTCGTTTCGGCTTCCATGGCCAGCCAAGGCCGGCTGCCAGTCAGCTGATAATCGAGTTGTCTTTACTCTGGGTATAAAGGGACTCTATCTTGTCTCTGAACGTAGTCCAAAACACGTTGTACTAGAAAAGGCAGCACAGGCAGGACACAGGTCAGGAGCGCCCACTAGGTGGCGCTGCATTTCGCGGCGCAAAGTCTACAGCGCATGCGCAGCCCATGTCGGCACCAACCAAGTTCCTGGAATCAGTCTGATCAGCAAAGGTTGCAACTGTTCGAGAGAGTCCACCATTTGTTATCTTGATATTGGCGTACCAAGTGATTTTCGCAGTTTAATGTTGTGCTTGTAGTGATGCTTATACCTCCGTGTTTTACATACATAAAAGTTCGTTAATTATCTGGTTTGCACTTACCTACTTGTCTGTTTCTAATTCTGTATCTCAAGTCAATGTCCACAATTTTAACCCGTAGACCTCATGTTCTACTCTAAAACTGAAAGTGCTTATTCCTCCTCTAGTACGTACACCTAAATGAAAGTCGTGCCTGTGAAGTGAATGATAGTATTTTAATTAATTGTCATTTATCGCAAATAAGTAGATAATTAACGAAATTTTCTAATTGTAAACACGTTAGGAGAGATAGAGACGCACAAACTGCGAAAAGCCCAAAAATGAATGCCGCACTATGTTTTGCGAATAAAATGGATTCTAATGTTACTGCACGTCCGTGCAATGTAGTCAATGCCACGTCCCTGCAATGTAGACACTGCAACGTTCCTGCGACGTGGACACTGAAACGTTCCTGTAAACGTTGTCGCTGACAACGTTTAACACGGGAACGTTCCGGAAACGGTACTTAATACATGGACATCCACGTAGAATTACACGTTCCGGTACACGTTGTTTTCCACGTGGAAGGTTTCACGAGAAACGTGGAATTCTACGTTGTTGTCAACGTTGAAATTGTTATCTGGGATTTGATTTTCTTGAGAGATACCAAAATATGTCGAAAAATAGCAAAAACTGCCATAAAGGTAAAATAGCTAGAACATGTTCTAGCTCTAAAATGTCTAATGCCCGCTGCTGAGTAGCAGTGTATTTAATAAAAATATCAAATGATAACTTCCGGAGCCATAAGGCGAGCATTATCGCGTTGAGTCAATTGAACTCCCCGTAAATTAAAGAATGAAACGCGTAGAACTAGTTTTTTTAATTTTTTTTAAAGATGTTTACTTCCTTAAATTAGTAGTAATTGCCGAGCAGATGTACGTTCGATCTTTCAAAAAAGATGGTTTTGAAAACGCCATGGTTTCATAAACATATCACCAGAAAAAGAAATCTTTGACGATCGATAAGCGGTCAGACTGACTGCAAAATTCACTCCTATTCTAGAAAAAATGGGATTTTCTGCAAAGCTCGGAGGTTTCATCGGCGAACCAATGTTGCAATATGCTTATCAGTTGGACAGTTAATTTACTTTTCAAACCCTTGAAATAACGTTATATTCTATTTAAGGAGTTACGGCAATTCTTAATAGGGAGCAGAGAGCTCGAATTTGCGTAGGTACCTCTCATCAGTTTGGCGCGTGGGGCCCTGCGCATTTTCGGACATTTTTTGGTTTCTCTCAAGAAAATCAAATCTGTCTGAAATCTATGTTTCTCTAAAAAAACGCAAATTTCTCACGGAAATGGTGATATTAGGGGTGAATTGTAGACGTTTTACAAATGCTGAAACTCAAAATTCGTATTTCAGAGGCGCGGTCGCTTATATTCGTCTTTTTTACAATTTTTGCTATTTTCTTCAATTTTCTCAAAAAACAGTCACACGGTGGCAGGTCTTAGTATTATCAGAAATTAAAAATGCGTGGCATGCATCGTTTTTGGATCAGATGGAACAAATTTAGGGACCATCACGGTCCATTTTCCGAAGTTGCACGAAGTGGATCATCCTAGCCGCATTTATGCCGTACGCGGCGGCGCAGCGCCCCACCAGCGCCTATGAATCGGCTCCGCTTTGACCCCCTACCCCCCTTCCCCATGGGTCAAATGTGTGATTTTCTCATTCATAATAGGCCTCTAGGTATCTTAATAAGTAAAGATCAAGTTGTTTTTATGTTGACACATTTTATAGCCGAAAAACAAAATACCGCGGATCGGCCCATGTTCGCCCCATTTAAATCAATGTAACTTTTTTGGAGATTTTCAGCCTCAAGTCGGCACGTGTTAATATTGTCGGAGAATGAAAATATTTGGCAGATATCATATTTGGATGGTAAGGAACGAATTTAGGGGGCGTCGCGGTTCATTAGGCCAAAAAAAAAAAAAAAAATTCCCGTGTTAACTTAGACCACCCTACCCATTCGGCGGATTTTAAGTTTCTGCTATCTTTCTGTTATATAAATTGCAATCAAAATTTTCCAAGAGTAGGTAGGTACCTAGCTCTCGATGCAGCCGAGAAAACTGCATGAATTGTTTACAAATTTCTCTGACACGGACTTAATCAGACACAATTTAAAATGAAATAAATAAATTGAAATACTTTTAGGTACAACCTTAGGAGAACACAGTATTTTATTTTGATACCTTCACCAAATAGGTACTTAAACGAGCTCATTAAAGTCAACGCTATTATCAGCTATAACATAAAAATATGAAATGAAATACAAAGTTATTGCCATCGAAAAGCAGGCTGGGAAAATAACTCGAGATTTAATGTCAATGTTGGGGAATTTTTTAGGATTTTTCTCTTCAATTTTTCGAATGATATCACTTTCGTCTGGAAGAATTTTCACACTGCGCCAAAATTTTACAGGAGCTTGCAATCTTTTCCTCAACAGTTGGAAGAGGGTCATTTTCCTCAATTTTTCTACCCAAGAAATCGAAATGCCCGAGTTTACCATTTTAAACGTCGAGAAAAAAATTCTCTCAGATTCGTTTCCATTTTCAGTGGGAGAGATTTTGGGAATATCGTTGGGCTCTTGATCAATGAAGTCCAAAGAAACGGGCTGCTGTTTTTCAGATTTTGACTCCATATTTACTTTTGTTTCCGTCTCATCGACCGCACCAAGTTGTGTTTCATCTTTAGTTATTACCACATCATCCTCCTCTTCTTCTTTCAGCCGAAGATGTACATGAGTCTGTTTTGACTCTTGAAATTTTCCCATTATTTCATACACTTCATCTTCGCGCTCAGTTGGAGTCTGCAACAGGTTCATAAACAAGAAAAAAAAGAAAGTTTTATTTGTGCAAATACAACTTCAGTAATAGTGACTCTTCTACAGGTCAATGTTTAGACAAATGTTTTTGGGTGATTTCACGATAACAGGAATAGTTAATATATGAAATACCTGAGAAATAAAAGTGCACCAATTTTAACAGGATTTCATTACCTCATTCTAAAGGTATTAAACTTCCTTTTTCCAGCTTTGGCACGCTCTATTTTGATTCAGTGCAAAGTTAAAGTGATTGATAACCCTGGTAAAAATGGCAAGTGCTCAGACCAGTAGCACTTGCCTTTGGAACAGACCTAAGCACTGATGTCAGAGCTGCCGGGCGCTGATCTGCTACCTCAGTGTTAGGTCTGTTCCAAAGGCAAGTGCCTCTGATGTAAATGGCACTGACCTAAGTGTCTCAGACGTAAGCGGAGTGGAAACTCCCAGAAATACTGTACAGGCAAAAATTTCGTTAATTACCGGTCTGCCAGGTACGTTAAGTCACTATTTGACGATCAGGGAGGGCTGCTGTGAGTTTTCAATCCCAAGCAAGTATCACAATCTTCAGGGGACATCGCTCGTTCCCATGCGGTCTCCAATCTAAGTACTAACTACGCCCGACGTAACTTAACTTCGGTGATCGTCCTAGCGATTGAACCACTACAATACCTGCGCGTGTACGTGTTAGGGGCGTAATTTTACCATTTCAGGGCCCCCATTGGGGTAATTTTGCCAGCAAATGATGATTTTGTCTTTGAATGTGAATCCGATACTTAATTTTTCTATTATTCTTTTTTAATCAATCAACATGTAAATGAAGTTTTGTAAGTTACGTTTCTTTGAAAAAAAAATGGATCGCACTAAAATTCAAAATTAAAGCTAATGATGCAAAAAAAAATAATGAAAGTTGAAATTATACAAAAAATATAAATTAGCAGATACAAAAATTGAAAGTAAAGGAGTAAAAAAGTTAGAAAAGAATTGAAAATAAAGTATAGGAAAATTTAAAAAAAAAAAAAAATTGAGACTGAAACATTTTAAAAACAGTTAAAACTGAAAAAAATTAAAACCAAATTTAAAACTATTTTTTTTGTATAAAAAAATAATAATGCTTAAATAAATATATCTAAATACATATTTTAGCGGTGATAATATTTTTATCGATCTCATTTTTTGTTGTGTTTTAATTATTTAAGTGCCATCTTAAACGAAAAGGGTAAAACAAATTATTCAAGAGTGTGGCTACTTAAACTAGTTTTCCTTCCCTCTTAGAAAATCCCACCTTCTACAAAATATGCCTCTCTGAAAGATAAAGTTTGTGGTCCCCGTGTCCCGAGGAAATATTCCCCCACGAAAATGAAATAGGGTGGGGGAAGGGGGAGCCATCTCTACTTTTTGGGAGTGAGTGCGGTTCGATTAAGATTGATGTCAGAGATTTACCCTCTGAACCAAGTCCTGACCTCAGTCCCGCTTACCTCAGAGACATCTCTGCACTTAGGTAAGTCTTTCTCCCGACGTCAGTGCCTTTTACCTCAGTGCTGACTTCTTGGGTAAGTGCTTTAACACTTACGTCAGAGAAAACTGAACTGACCTCAGAGCAAATTGCACTGACCTAACACTTGCCATTTTTACCAGGGAAAAACAAGTCATTGAATCAGGTATCAGCGCTTCCCGCGGGACTGCTGGAGGTCCACGCAAACATGGCGGCCCTGCCAGATTGTGTCGGTTACGTAACAGACACAGCGTAACCGACACTCAAAAATGTGAGATAAAAGATGATACAAAAGATGAAACTTGGCAATTCTTGAGTTATGAGGTGGAATTAATGCTGCCTTAAAAGTTTTCTAGACTTTGGAGACTTCGTTTTAGTTTAATACTATTAAATTGAGGTTTTTGCGTAGTGAGGAATTAGTGCTACACACGTAAAAATCACTGGTTTTCATAATAATTTAAGTTTTCATTGTAAAAAAAACTGACTTATCAGTAATGGTTTTGTCAAGAAGACTTCAGCGAACAATTTGATGCCAGTTTTGAAACTCCTGACTCCATCTGGCGAGATAAACACTGCACTTAATACAACTGCAAAAATTTGTTGCCAAATGTGGCGACATCTCTTTCTTATGACTTTTCTCGCTCAATAATAAACATTTCAGTTCAAACTGGCAATTTTCTTGAACACTAGAGTCTCTTTTCAGCAAATATTGCCAAAGAGTTCATGATCAGTACTGATATGTTACCGCAAATTGCTCTTTTGCTTCAAAATCGGGGTTGGCGACGCGTAACCGACCGGACATTTTCGGCCTTTAAAGTCTCATATTATTAAATATAATAATAATTAATCATATTTTTTAGCATGGATAGGTTCAGGGACATCATTCCTATTGATTAATTAATTTGGTTTTCAATCGTTTTGCCCTATGTCGTTCAGAACCCACGGCGACACGACTATGCCTATTATCGTGAAATCACCCTTTTCCATTGAGCTCGCATTTGAGTGCTTGTACTCGATGAAGAGCTTGCAGTTTTAGAAATGTTCCTTGTAGAATTGTTTTGAGTTGATTTATTTGAGGTTGTAGGTTAGCGACTACCGCCTGTTGTTGTTACCCTGCGATAAATTTCCCCTGGGAAATGACATGTAATTTCATGCGCTCCCAAGGGTATGATATGTGATAAATGCTCCTAGAGGAATGACATGTAATCACATGTGCTCCCAGGGCAGGGGAATGACACGACCTCATATGTGGACCCCTGGGGAATAGACAGTGTGCTCCCCTGGGTGCTAACATGTGACCCGTGCGCTCCCATGGGAGGGTACATATTGTGACCCATAGGTAAGTGCTCTCGTTGGACCTCTCACGGTGTCTCGTGGATTATCATAAAACTTCAGGAGAAATGCCACGGGCCCATATGTGACTGCAGCCCACCATGTGCAGTGGAGCATCACAGAACTATATTCATGGGAAATGCATTAAGGGCCCTACAATGTCCTGCAAAGATATCACCGAACTTGAGAAAGGATACAGTGCGACAAAACACTGCGTCTTAGGTGCGTCTTATCTACTTTAGGTGCCTGCTTTACAAGTTATACCGAGAGAAAAATTTCCCCTCGGCATAGACACGAGATCACACGCGCTCCCTTGGGGAATGGACAGGAAAGCCCCTGTGCTCCCAAGGGAATGACAGGGGATCCCCTGTGCACCCATGGGAGTCTGGGGATCTTCAGTCCCGTCCCTCCGTCCCCGCGCGTCCCGTAGCTTTAAGGTTCGGTTGGCGGACTTCCGACTTCTCTGTGGTTATTTTTTTATTTTATTTATTTTTCAATCTACATATTTCATTTATCGATTCATTTTTTTATTTATTGATTTATTTTCATACATTTTCCAGGTTCGTTGCGGCCAAAAGATGCTTTGGATTCGAATAAATTCGGTATACAACTACTATTTTATTTTATTTTGATAGGAGTAGTATACCGAATTTATTCGAATCCAAAGCATCTTTTGGCCGTAACGAACCTGGAAAATATAAGAAAATAAATATATATAAGTCTAGTATAGACGGCATTGTGGGCACGGAATAGGGAGGTTCCCAGGGGAGCCACTGCCTAGGGGAATTATTCCCCTGCCCAAAATCGACAGGGAGAAATCCCCAGGGGAAATTTTTAGCAGGAAATATTGTTAATTTTCTTGTTGTTGGGCCAGACAAGCTCCTAGTTTAGATGGAAGAGCACGGTTTTCACCAGGAAGCACGTAGGTAGGTATTATCCTGAGAGTAAAGGTTTCTACTAGAGCTTGAGATATTTTGCCATGAAATGCTTGCACGGACAGAAATAGGGGGGGCCGGGGGCCCGCCCCCAATAAATCTACTCGGCCCCTTCCAAAAAATGTCAAGGACCTAAGCTAATAATTAGGTTTGAGGTAAAAGGTATAGGGAATGTAATTAATATGAGCCTAATCCTGGTAAAATCGATCAAAGATAGCAGAAGATGAAAATTTCTTGCAAAGAGCAGCTTCCTTTTATTAAGGAACGTGGAATGTAGTTTGACTGTATACGGTTGTGGTTTTTTGCGCATTTTAGTTCAATACTTGTTTTCATGAGAGGTAAATGAAGACTTATTAAAATCCACAATAAGATATGATATTTCTACAAATACGTCAGTAAAATTTCTGTCATCTGTAATATTTAATTCAATTTAATTTGTCATTGAGAATGGCTTAAAATTGCTCTCGAGACGTTCCAATTTTAAAACATTTTCCGGGGGGTCCCCCTAGACCCTCTTTACCCCAAGAGGTTACCCCTGCTTTTTCCAATAGCCTCCTGTGCCCCCCCCCACACAAAAAATTCGTGGTTCCGCGCATGATTGTTTAATGGATTCATGCAGGCGATCATCTTCTAAGGCGAGTTGTCTCTATATTTGCACTATAAGTACTTCTTTGATTGGAACAGTTTTATCTGAATCGTAAGAAGAACTTTCAGATCCCTTTTCCTCACCTTCACCCGCCATTGCAGAAGAAGCGTCACCATCCTTCCCCTTCAATGTCGGAGTGGGAGGGCGGGCGTGTATAGGGCACCTGTGGAAAAGCGAACTTCTTCCCAACCGGGTTTTACCTTCCATCGAGTAACTTGGCGATGTTCTTTGGTACATCAGGAACAAGTCGGTGAGCTTCCCTCGGTTCAAGACGTTTCTTACACTCAAGGAAAACGCCATTTACATAAAAGCTCTTCCCTGGTAAAAATGATCAGTTAAAATTTGAACTGATATCGGTTGATATCATTTGAGCATCAACCGATATCAGTTGATTTCAACTGATATCAGTAGAGCTTCTACTGATATCAGTTGAACTTCAACTGATACCAGTAGATGCTCAACTGAGCCCGGACTCGAGTCAGTTGAGATCCAATTGGTACCAGTTGAGGCCGGACTCGAGTCAGTTGAGATCCAACTGGTACCAGTTGAGGCCGGACTCGAGTCAGTTGACATCCAACTGGTACCAGTTAAGGCTGGACTAGAGTCAGTTGACATCCGACTTGTACCAGTTGAGGCCGGACTCGTGTCGGTTGAGATCCAACATGTGGTACATAAGGCGGGACTCGTGTCGGTTGAGATCCAATAAGTTATGTCGCAGTTGAGGCCAGACTCGTGTCGGTTGAAATCGAAACTGTTTCAGTAGTGGATCTATTCGGCATCAGTTGCGTGAATAGGTTTAGATTCAAGCATCCAATCAGAGTACAGTTGGATTATGCCTTTTAAATTTGCTATTTTCCGCTATGGGGCCGTCCTATAAATTACGTAAGGCACTTTTTCCAGTTTTAAGACCCCCTCCCTCTCGAAAGGAATTTTCTGCCCCTCGGCCACCTTACTTCAACAATACCCCTAAGGCAGCCCTTGACACCCTCCCCCACTGCCTTGCGTAATTTGTGGACGTAATGGGCCCTGCAGCGGAAACCAGTTGTCTCCATTTTGAAATCTCTTAAAAATGAGAAATTTTTTTTTTTTTTTTTTTTTTTTTTTTTTTTGTATTTTTTTTTTTATTAAGTTTCCGTATAGATGAATGGCTAAGTGCAAATTGCCTATCCTCCTTTTTGAAGGGGCTAAAATCAATTCGTTGGAAAAAATTGCAATAGATATGGTACAAAAAATGGTAATGAATGTCAATGTTAGGTTGAATCGCAGGTTCTTCACATTTGTATGTAAAGGAGCCCCACTTTAAAATTAATTTGATAAAGGATGGCAAAAAAAAAAGAGAAACTGAACCAACATTGTACTTAAGGTGATTGCAAATTTTACCGCAGAAAATGACTCTGTCAATTAGAATTTTTGAATTAATATTGGAGATACCCCAGTTAGAACAAAATATTTTGAAAATATTTTAGAAATACTGCCGTTGTTTGGAAAATATTTTCAAGAAAATAATTCCACGAAAATACTGTAAAAATAGTTTTACAATATCTTTTCAATCAAATTTTTAAAATATCAAAATTAATTATTTTTAAAATATTTTTGCAATATTTAAATGAAAATGTTTTTGAAAAATAATTTTAAAGCAATTACTAAATATTTACATTTTTAGTTGTAAAAATACTACAAAATATAATATTTTAAAATTATTAATAAAATATTATAGAATATGCGCGCTCTAGGAGCTGTTTTGGTACGTATGTTCTTTACTGATAAGATAAGATATTTTATTCAAAAAGTAAAACATAAAATAAAGAACAATATTAATCTGCCCGGCAAATTGTGATGCCCAAATTAATCTGCCGGATCAGACATAAAATTAAATTCAACTGATAATAAAAGAAAAAAGAAAGGGGAAAAAAGAAAAATCACAAAATAATAATAATAATAATAATAATAATAATAATAATAATAATATATCCATAATATGATAATCCAATAATATGATAGTTAATATCCAGAGCACTTACGCTGAGAAGATAAGTAAGTACATGCCTTTGGCGGACGAAATCAAGTGCCTCTGGAAATTGGACAAAGTAATAACTGTGCCAATTATTATTGGAGCAACGGGGGAGATTCCTGTGAAGTTGTTTGATAGTCTTAGGAAGATCAACCTTAGAGAGAAGCTGTTTCAACAATTACAGAAAGCAGTTTTGCTAGGGAGCTGCAGGATTGTAAGGCGAGTTCTGGGTGATGGATAGTTACCACCAACCGAAAAATTAACCTGCATTTTAAACTTCAATTTTAAATTTCTACTCCAATTTTAAATTTTTAACTTCAATTTTAAAGTTTTAACCTCAATTTTAAGTTTTTTTTACTCCAATGTTAAAGTTTTAATCCCAATTTTAAATTTTTCACTCCAATTTTAAAGTTTTAATCCCAATTTTAAATTTTTACTTCAATTTTAAATTTAAGGACTCTCCTTTGCATTGAATTGCCGGGGGAGGACTAAATATCTACCGGCCTCGAGCTGTGAATTGAGATACGAGAACATAATAATAATAACATAAATGCATCGACATAAATTCAAACTAGAAAAAGGTCCGAATAATTAAAACTGGAAAAAGACGCAATTATAAAAAAACAGGAATTTGGTTTTAAAAAAAAAATAAAAAAAAATGAGAGAGTCAAAAAAACGAGAGAGTTAAAAAAAATGAAAGAGAGTTAAAAATAAAAAAAATAAATAAATGAAAATGAAAATTTGAAATACATGAATATGAATATCTTGAGTTCAATTAATAAAGAATTTGAAACATAAATTACACGATGAAATAAAAAATAATAAATAAAAAATTATGGTAAAATATTAAAAGAATCCGTCAATAAACAAACATATTACGGACTCAGAGGCCTGCGATAGTTAAGAGATTGAATTTCGGGGCCCTCCCGTATCAAGCCTGGCTGGTCTAGCGGTAAGTTACTGGACTACGGATTGCAAGTTCATCCCGAGGTGTGGGTTCTATTCCCGACTAGGGCGGCGCGGATTTTAAGGTTAGTCACAACTCTACGATCGATCAATTTGAAATGACACATGTGCACCATCGAAGGAACGTTAGTACCAAATACATCACCTAGAGTGCGCGCTCTCTAGATGCAATATTTTCAGAACATTGATTATTTTTAAATTGATCAACTGATCAGATATCTACTGATGTCAACTGACGTCAACTGACAATTTCTACTGACATCAACTGATCAGATACCTACTGATGTCAACTGATGTCAACTGATTCTTTCGCACCAAAACACGGTTGACGGTCAACTGATAACATCTCAACTGATCATTTTTACCAGGGTTGGTATTATGTTTACACATTACGAGCAGAGTTGACGTCCAATTGATTCATTGTTTATGCACGTACCTATACCTACTGCTTTCTCCGGCTGCTCCGGGCTGCTGGCAATCGAAACCGCACGGCAAGTACTTTTTGAGACACACAGAATCACATGCTGATGATTTTTTTCCGAGGCATTTTAATAAACGGAATTTACCGAAACAGCGCGCGCTTGAACACGAACGTCTCGATCCAAAGCATAGTATGGACTGTCAAAATTTGGTGGTATGATTCTCTGCTCTTATCCTTCTCTACCCATTTACTGATGGAGTTTAAATAAGTATGTAGGAAAAGAAGTGAGAGACACTTACGTGATGAGAACATTTTGTAATAGATTCGACAACTTTGACAAGGATTTTTCCGGCTTCGTAAACTTTACGACCGTCGGTGTAAATTTTGTTAACAAAGTTGATGTAAGCATACTCAAGGATAACTCCGAAGGCAAACGCAAAGCACAGTATCAGATACCAATCGAGAGCCGTGGCGTGAGATACTTTTGGTAAGGCAGACCGGTTTCCAAAACCGATTGTAGTTATAGAGAGTACAGGAATCACCCCTGCAACCAAATATAAGAATAAGAAGAAGAAAACGCAAACATTTTACGTAGGCGGATCTTTAGTTTTAAGTGCCACGTAATGCTTCAAAATACGGTCATGTCCTGTTTTGTTTGTCTCCTCATGTGAAGACTAAAACGTCGTTACTCAATGAAAAGCTCGTCAGTTATGATTGGTATATTTTATTTATTGTGTTATCAAAGTTGTTTTCCAACAAATACGTACCAAGCTGAATTCTTGCTGGAACGTCATCTGGATTGATCCAAAAGGATACCCACGAACAGCAGATGATCAAAGCGCATGGCACATACACCTGGAGCACGAAAAACCCAATGCTCCTCTGGAATATGAAATTCGCTCGAATCACGTGGTATTCGTCTAAGAAAAAACAGCAAAACAATGTTTTAAATCACACTCGGTTTTACAAGAGACCGGAAATGTACGCTGCTTATGCGATTCACATTCCTCAAATGAAATCATGTCTGTAAAAACAGCAGATATCCGCCATTTTTAGGGGTAAGTAACGCCTTTTTAGAATCTGCAGATCTTCAAGAGTCCTAGTATGAAGTTCCAACTTCTGGCATAAGTTTACAATGAGATATAAGTAAAAAAAAAAAAAGTGTTATATGTAAAAAAGAAAATGTCAGAACTCGATGAAATAATGTATTGAGCCAAATAATTCACTGAAGCTCATAAGTCTTCTTCAGACTCGTGTATATGAGTGCATTACAGTAGTAATCAAAGTTAATGAGACAATATCGCATGCAGGTCTTAGGGAGATGGCACTCTTCTTAGTTTTCTCTCTATTTTCAGATACCAACAATATAGTCTCTTCCATTTATGGTTTTTGGAAATTACCAAAAGTTTATTTTTTTCGAAAATTATTACAAAACACGACAGTATTTAAAATTTGATAAATACCAATTGCTCTCCCTCTCTCTTATAGCCCAGGCAATAGAGGATAGAATAGGGGTTTACCTTGCAAAATTTAGGTGAAATCAGGTTATGATAGATTCCTATGTAATTTTTTACGCTGAATCCGAATTTTTGGTTTCCCAACAAATTTTCCTTGTGCTAACTCCGGAAAATCGGAAAAACCGCGAAAAATCACGTTTTTCCGCGGTTTTCCCGAGATATCTCTTTTCCCGTGCGATATATCGAGAAAATGGTTACTTCCAAAAATAAAGCTGATAAAATTTCCTATAAAAATGATCTGAACGTTTTTCTCACACGTCCACTAGGGAGAGAGCTGGAGCCGTGGAAAGCTCTAAAAACTCGTAAAATCGCGATTTTCCACGGTTTTTCGCCATTTGTGCGCAATAAATTTGTTCTTTCGCAAAATTTCAGGATAGTCTTACCTTAAAAATTAATGCTGCTTACTTCTAAGACAAAAATGATGCCAATTTTTTCTTTATAGGTCCATTGGAAGCGGTTTTAAAGCCGTGAAAAGTCATGAAATGCTCGAAAATCGCGATTTTCCGGCATATTTTCGTAACAAATCCGTTCCTGTCCAAACAACTCATTTAAAGTGACTTCAAAATTCAATCTTATAAAATTGGCAACATACATACGTAGAATTTTCTCCCATGGCGCGCCCTCGTGCTCTGCGACATCCATACGCCAAGTGTGCTTATCTACGTAAGGGTTAGTAGACAACGAACGACGTAATAAAATAGTGCAATTTTCAACATACTTAAATGATGTTGAAATTTCCTTGTATATCTGAAGAAACAACGGATATGGATTTGTCGAAAGCGTAAATAATGCAAAAAGTTGAAAAGTTTGAAATTTAAAGAATGTATTGATACAATTTTTCAATTATGCGAAAACAACTATAATAGTACCTATCGTAATAATTAGATAAGAACTATGATAGTAAATATGTTCAATGTCAAGAAGTATAATTCAGATGTATGGTCAGGCACTCTGCTGACTGAATGTCCTGAGGATCTGAAATCAAAATGAAAAGCATGGGTATAATGGCATAACCTAACATATTATTTTCTATCGGTAAAAGAGCTACTAAGTTATAAAATTGGGTCATGGTTTAAAATGGCAAGAGGAACGTAATTGTTGAATTGTTATAGGTGTTATCGGTGTTTTTTTCTTTCTTTTCTGCTATTTGAGAATGTTAATTTGTGCCTACTATAATGTAAATTTTCTCTGCTCAATCAACTCATGGAAAATTTATTGTAAACTTGATGGGAAAATTCTCACCTGCGTTGTCATCATTGCCGTCTTTGCAGTAAGTATTTGACGACTTCAGCATGACATCGTCTAAATCGGAGAATAGGAATTTCTGGTATGGATTTATCTTAATTTGAATTGCTCGTTTGAGCTTTTGCAACATCGTTTACTAGAATAAGAGAAACGTATGCCTAGGAAAATCTTTTGGTATTAATCTGAGAGGAGAACAATGAGTACCTGCATTGATACGGTTCGCAGATACAATCGCGATTTTTGGCTTCCTTGGCATTTCAGGATCTTATTTTTGTTGTCAATGAGTATATTTATCCATTGATTGTTGGTTCATAATGACGCTACAATTATTTGGAAATAATGTGACACTTCCCAAGTAGCAGTGATCGCGATAAATTGCGATTTAATTGGAGAATGTATCGCGATTTTATCGACGTCGCGATTTATTGCAATATTATCGGGAGAAAAATCGCGATAAATTGCAACAAAATCGCGATATTATCGAACGCGATTTTATAGAGATAAAATTGCAATAAATTGCAATTTTTCATTAACGCATGAATGACGCATATGAAAGATGTTTCTATTCCGCCGCCGCCGTTTTTACCGAGATCCGTTGGTAACTTAACCATCTCATTTTTTTTTATCAATTATTAGTATAATGTTACAAAGACAGACTGGTAATGCTTACCTGAAAACCGGTATTTTTACTGATTTTTTCAGGTAAGAATACCACTTTTATTGGTAATCAATCCCCGGTAACTTTACCATTTTATCTCGGTAATTCTACCACAGTCGATAAAAACTATTGGCGTTTTTCCCAAGGTCCATCGGTAACTTTGCCATCTCACTATTATTGGTAATTTTACAGAGACAGAATGATGAGATTACCAATAGAACCTTATTTTACCAACCGTATTTCAAGGTATGAAATAAAATACAGAGGAGGGAAAATTTAAAAAAAAAAAAAAAAAAAAAAAAAAAAAAAAAAAATCCAATGAAAAATCGGTGTCAGTCAACGCAAAGACATAAGTTGTGAGGTTGCGAAGCGCCGATCCATGTATAAGAGGCTTCAATTCGCACACGCAAGTCATATAGCGGTCATAGCATAGTGACGATGTGCTGGCCTTCCACCGTAGCGATTGGGGTTCGAATCCCCGCGGAGGCTCCGGGGATTTTTCGCTCGTCTTCGTCAAAGGACCTGACGGCTGAACCTAACGGCAATCGGCTGACAACTTTAACCCCTTTTTTTTGGCGATTTTATCAATCGCTAGGATCATCAACATCTGAGCGATCATCCTCGATCTTATCGCGATAAAATCGCAATTTTTTCGGGCCGATAAAATCGCAATAAAATCGCGAAAAGATCGAGGATAATCGCTCAAATGTTGATGATCCTAGCGATTTTATCGCCGATAAAATCGAGGATAATCGCGACTTTATTGGCGATAAAATCGCGATTTTTCCGTTGAAAAATGCTACTTGGGTTGTGCAATTAATAGAGTAATGTCATGATTGCTGAAATCAAGGATATTAATGTGATCTGCCATAAGGCTAAAATTCTACATCTATCGTACAAGCCTCCCAAAATTATGAGTAGTTCACGGGTGCGTGCCGTGATTACTCTCAGTCTCGTTTTCTCAATTACCTAGAGTCGCTTCATTTACATCACTGATAAAACCGAAGTGGAAGAAACCGGGATTTGAATTACTGCGGTATATGAAGTCAATGAGTACATTTTTTTAAGCATCACTGGCCATTTCTATCAATTCAAATAAAAATAAAAAAAAAAATTGAGTGAAATTAATACCTACCTGCAAACGTCTCCGAACTTCTTTCATCTCTTCGGTCGTCTGCTGTTCTTTCTGTGAACGATTCAGGAGTATATTCCATAAATCATCAGGATCATCTACGATAAGTTCCGCGGATAAGTCCTCATCGAGTGCATTCTCACATGTACCGTTAAAATTTCGACACATTATTGTGCAATTTAATCCACCGAAAACATCATCACATTGAATTTTAAATTTTTGAGGTATATTTTTAGCCCCATATTTTTACACAAGATGATTCATTTGTGGCTTAAAAGTGGAAAATCACAATTTTTCGCATTTTTTGAGCTACACATAATTCTCTATGCGGCACTTTTTGACCCATGCTAAAAGCTTTTCACGTCATAAATGTGTTGACAATTTTATAAGATTAAATCTTGAAGTCTCCATTAGCCGAGTTTTTGGCACAAGAACGGATGTGTAACAGAAATATCCACAAATTTAGAAAAATAATTTCAGAAATTGTAGTAGTACATTCTTCAAATTTCAACTTTTTGCATTATTTACGATATGGATTTGTCGAAAGCGTATAAATAATGCAGGATTGCACTATTACAACATCATTCCATCCATCCATATCCGTTGTTTCTTCAGATATACAAAGAAAATTTCAACATCATTTAAGTATGTTGAAAATTGCACTATTTCATTACGTCGTTCGTTGTCTACTAACCTTTACTTAGATAAGCACACCTGGCGTTTGGATGTCGCAGAGCACGAGGGCACGCCATGGGAGCAAATTCTACGTATGTATGTTGACAATTTTATAAGATTGAATTTTGAAGTCACTTTAAATGAGTTGTTTGGACAGGAACGGATTTGTTACGAAAATATGCCGGAAAATCGCGATTTTCGAGCTTTTCATGGCTTTTCACGGCTTTAAAACCACTTCCAATGGACCTGTAAGGAAAAAATTGGCATCATTCTTGTCTTAGAAGTAAGCAGCATTAATTTTTAAGGTAAGACTATCCTGAAATTTTGCGAAAGAACAAATTTATTGCACACAAATGGCGAAAAACCGTGGAAAATCGCGATTTTACGAGTTTTTAGAGCTTTCCACGGCTCCAGCTCTCTCCCTAGTGGACGTATGAGAAAAACGTTCAGATCATTTTTATAGGAAATTTTATCAGCTTTATTTTTGGAAATAACCATTTTCTCAATATATCGCACAGGAAAAGAGATATCTCGGGAAAACCGCGGAAAGACGTGATTTTTCGCGGTTTTTCCGATTTTCCGGAGTTAGCACAAGGAAAATTTGTTGGGAAACCAAAAATTCGGATTCAGCGTAAAAAATTACATGGGAATCGATCATAACCTGATTTCACCTAAATTTTGCAAGGTAAAATC